GAGCTTTAGAATATAAACAGCCAATAAGTAAGGGCAATAACTGCAGCTTCCTGCTGGGAACTAACTCTGCCTGTCATGCATTTGCTGGGTCCTAATACAGGACAGTGAATAAAGCTTCATTACAGAACAATGGAGTTAGCTGCCAGAGCCTACAGATTTGAATAAACAACAAATAAGCAACATCTGCTCCAGCATATGTGTATGGTAAAAAAAAGTCACAAAATAAAAGAATTTGTAAATGCCAAAAGCAACACTAAACTGCCAGTGCTACTGTAGAGTGAATTTTTAATTGCACATGCATACAGGCAGGCTGTGGGTATTAGTCTCACATATGTCTGGTTGCTGCCAACCTGGGAGTATAGATGAATTTAATTAAATAAGGATTATCCCTTCTCCCCAGTACAATTACTTATTTATAACAATGATAAAATTGCCTAATAAAAAAGATTGTAATATTTTTTAAAACAGAGCTAGAAAACACTCTGCTTTCCTTGTAAGTCATTCGGGGATGTTTGGGGTTTGAGTGTCTTTGAAAATTAAGTCTCAGCACTCTGCCAAAAAAGAAAAAAAAAAGCCTTAGCATAAAGCCTACTGCAGTTTAACAGCCAGAATCTACATTATGGAGAAATATAAAGAAGACATACAGCAGCCAGGGAATTGGCTTTCATGTGGTATATAGAAAATTAAACAAGTGGGCTAAAATTGAGGCCAGGTTACACAGCCAAGGAACAAGACCACCGGGACAGGTACTTCAATAAATTATCTATGTCTGATACATCCTATTTATGCAAAATATTCTGTTGCTATTTATCCTGGACTTTTCTTATAGTGGGCACCTACCCTTCCTCCTTCAGGTAAGCTTCCATTCCAGTCTTGTGCTTTCATGCGCTTCTAATTTATCGGCATCGTTGTGTTAATTTCAGTTGTACCTAATAACCATCCAAGACCTGCCTTCCCCTTGTGCAAGGTGCTGTACAAGCCTAGGGTAAGAGAGGGCTTGTGCCCCAAACAGCTAACAATACAGATCTAATTTTCAGTAACACTTAATTTTTGGGATGATGTTTTCTACACTTCCCTATTTCTGTAAAATTCTTAAGCACACACTTAACCTTAAATTTAAATTAATTTTGGTTTAAGTTAAGCACATGCTTGAGTCTGATGATGAACCCAGCTTTGGTCTCCGCCTGAAGATTTTCAGCCATTTTAAGTTGTGGAAGAGTTAAAACAACAACAAAATCTAACTCCTCCTTCCTTCTCATACACATTTCCATTGCAACCATTTACATAGATGATCGTTCCCTTCACCACATCAACTGGAAATCCATTAGACTATATGGTAATGGACAGTTCATGATGGGAAGATGGACTAACAGCCACAGTATGGAAATCATTTTAATGGCTCTAAATTAAAATATGGATTTGATCTACATTCTGTTAAATCAATATGAGTATTTATAAGAGCTAGATATTATCGTTACTACAACATTACAGTAATGTCAATAGATTTTAAATTGTTTCCAAATGAACAGCAAAACTGAAGTCATAGCAAAAACCACTTTGTAAAAAGGATTAAAAATATTGAACTGATGGTATTTCATTTCTAAAAATTAAAGGCAAGGGAGAAAAAGGACAGGAAGTTCTTAATAAAATAAGTATTTAATTCTTTTAATTGAAATTAGAACAAGTATTAATAATACCATAACAGAAATAGTATTTTGAGGGTGTACTGAGGCATAGATACCATATTAATACAATTTACTTACATGATATTGGTTGATCATTTAACTAGATGACAGGGCACAACAATAAGTAAAGGCAAAATAATCACATACTGCAAACGGTATCGCAGAATTACAACTAAACATGTTTTTTCTTTGTTTTAAAGCAGCATGCAGGGCATTTTTTTTTTAATGTATATTCAGATATAATTATGTAATCGGGGAAAAAACTGCAAATCAAGGCATTCACCATGACATGTTACAATAATTGATTAGAAATGAGCAAATAATAGGAAAAACTATTTGTGAGCATTTCAGCAATTTTTTAATCTGTTTTTAATTTGGCTGGTTTTCATGCCCTTTTGTTTATTTCTCTATGAATGTTTGTTCAAATGGACTTTTCATTGCACAGTGCCAGTGAATGACTATTCTTTGTGTGAATACCAACATAAGCAAGGTTATTTCTGCACTGATATAGGAGTTTCTCCATCCTCATTCAGGAAGCAGAACCAAAACAATTCCATATTTAGGTGGTTAATCCCGTGCCATGAGTAGCAACTAGTATCCATTCCAAGGCCCAGTCAAGCCAGTGGTAGCTTATCCATTGGCTTTGTATCAGGCCCATAAGGAATAGCCAAAGACATGATCAATGCAAGTGACCCATGGGCTGAAATATGTCTACACAAAGTGCTCATTACATATTGTGGCTAACACAATGATTGAAATACAACTCTGTTCACAGATCAGTAGCATAAGGAGGGGTAGGAAGTAGGCTGCAAGCCCTGGATGGTGCTAAATGGGGTGCAAAAATAGAGGGGGGTATCTTAACCTTTCACCCTCCACCTCCTCTGCAGTTTCTGGCTCCAGCCCCACCAGGAAGCAGTGGAGGTGAAGAAGCATGTCAGTGGGTAAAGGGCATCACAGGGAATGTAGTCCTGTTGAGCAGCAGCAGCTGGACTTTGCTGTAGGTGGGGGAAAGATGCCACCCTATTTTTTGCTTCCAAAAATAGGATATAATTTTTGCCCACTTAACATAGGTGAGGTGACATCACCTTTCAGCAGCAGTCAACTCCAGCTGCAGCTCCTATGCTCCTGCCAGACCCTCCAGAGCCAGAATCCTGCAAAAGATGGAGGGACTGCCCCATGTACAGTCCTGGCTATGTACAGATTATCTGAAAACAGACAAAAGGCTAAATCTGTTGAGTAAATACTGTTTGGTCTAGTATCTGAAGCAAACCTTCACTCTTCAGGTAAAGTCCTATGCTCACTGAAATCAACTGGACTTTTGACACTGACTGCAATGAGGCTGGAATTTTACTCTTGGAAGACTCCAGCTCTGATTGAAATCAGTGGCATCTATGAATGACTAGCACCTATGACTATCAGGCCACTTATGTGTGTGTCTGTGTGTGGATTGTGGCTGTTTAGTAAAAGAGTTATTTGTGTTCATCAGTTAAATTGTTAATGATGAAGAAAGTAGAGATGGAAGGGACCTTATGAGGTCAGCTCCCTGCTCAAGCCAGGATCATGCCTGACTAAATGATCCCAGTCATGTCTGTCCAGTTTGCTCTTGAAAGTTTCCAAGGATGAAGAGTCCACAAGTACTCTACATGGCCTGTTCCAGTGCTTGACCACTCTCATAATCAGTTAGGATCTCCAACCTAAATTTCTTCTGCTGCAACTTAGGGCTATGGATCCTAGCCCTGTCCCCTATGGCAATAGAGAAAAGCACATATGTATTCTCTCAGGAATCACCCTTCAGGTATCTGAAGACTGTTATCAAACCCCACACCCTCAGGCTTCCCTTCTTGAAACTAAATAACCCTAGCTCTTTCAGCCTTTCCTCACAGGTCATGCTTCACAGGCCCCTAATCATTTTTGTTACTCTCCACCGGACTCATTCCAATTTATCCACTTCCTTCTTGAAGTGTGAGACCCAAAACTGGACACCATACTACAGGGGAGGCCTCATCAGTGGTGAACAGAGTGAAAGAATCACTTTCCTTGATTTGCAAATGACACCCCTGTTAATACAGTCCAGTGTGCTGTTGGGTTTTTTGCAACAGAAGCATACTGTTAATTCATATTCAGTTTATGGTCCTTCTATACAGTACCATAGCCTAGCCAATCAGTATTTGTACATGCAATTGTTCCATCCCAAGTGCAGGACTTTGTACTTGTCCTTGCTGAATCTCATCTGATTGATTGTGGACCATTTTTCTAATCTACCCAGGTCATTCTGGATCCTAGCTATTTCCTCCAGAGTGTCTACAGTTCCACTCAACATTATGTCATCCACAAATTTGCCAAGCATGCACTCATTCCTATCATCCAAGTCATTAATGAGCATGTTGAACAATACCAGACCCAGGACAGACCCCTGGGGGACCCGACTAGCCACTGAGCCACTGATGAATACTCATTATTATATTTTGATAGGGTTAAAGCCCAGCATCCATTTGATGTCTGCTCCTTGCTACTCTCTGACTCTACTGCATAACAATCTTTTCCCTGCGCAGTTTGTTAATCCTGCTCTGAGCACTGTCTAGAAGGTGCCCCCAGAGAACAATGCAAGATACTCCCTGTTCTGGAGGCTGAGCAAACCTGGTTTGCCACCACTTCTATATCTGCCTCTGCCAACCTGCAGAGCCAAGGACCCAAACTCTGATCCTCATGGGCGACTGGTGCCACCTTATTCAGGGGGGCATGTGCCTTCCCAGTGACCAGTCAGAGTGACCGGGGGGGTCCCCCCACAGCCGATCTCACCAACTGGGAATCAGCCACAGCACTCCTGGAAGTGGCCGCGTCACTTCATCCAGCACTCCCACTCCCTGGCCAGTACTCGCAGGGGGAGCACCAGCATCCCCCCTGCTCATCACCTAAGTGCAGGGGGTGCACCAGCACTCTCAGGGGGTGCACGTGCACCCCCTACACATTGCCACTGCTGATCCTCCTAATGATGTTATGACAAGCTGACACTTTACACTGCCACAAAGCCCTAAACAGAGGCTTCAGTTCTGCAATGTGAGCTGACCCCAACACACACATGCCCATACACATACACATGTAAGCCAATTGACTTGTGGGTGTATTTGAAAGCCACATCACTTCATTAAGTGGAATGTCTGGTAGGTTGTGATAGCTATAGTAGGGCATCCAAACTCCATTGTTGATAGGAGTGATTAGGGATTGAATTCTGCGTGCGACAATCCATTAGGAAAAATAAACTGCAAAATTGAAGTTTTTAAGAAAACAAATAAAGTTATATTTATTAATACCCACCTGAAGTGCAGTCAAGAGGATTTCCCCATGGAGTTTCATCTTCAAAGCTCTGTATCTGAGACAAAAAAATGACTTATTTATTATTATTACAAATGTATTCCTTCCTTTTAGAATGAGTAATGTCAAATTGAAATATTGTTAAAAATTCTAGATGGCGCTTCATTTTTAATATATTTGCTTTTTTAGCTAATGCAAACTAGGCTCTTGTCCTGATAGTCCTCCACTCTTCATATAACTGGAACTGGGCAATACACAAAGGCAACCTGCCCTCTTTATACAGTGAAGCTTTGTCACTTAAGTTGTTCACAGAAAAGTCTCTAGGATAATGTGCCTTAGTGGCATAAAATGCAGACAGGCTGATAGGATGCAGACAGGGTCATTATCTCCAGCCGTTTCATCAGGGCTTATAGTTTGTTCCTGTAATTGTATGACATGTAGGTGACTGGAGGCTGTGGCAGAGTCATCTTAGCAAAATTAAACTCCAAGCAAGACTCAGCTAAATCAGCCTCCTCTCCACAGATTCTGGGATACTACATTTCCAAACTGAAAAGCCTCCTCTCCACAGATTCTGGGATACTACAGTCCCAAACTGAACCCCTTCCTTAATCTGCCGCTGCCATTTTCTTCAGCAAAGGTCTCCTACTTGTATTCCAAGATCCAAATGCATTCAGGAGCTTGCTTTATATTTATTTAGGTTTTTATGTAATTATGTATTTGATTTATATGCCACCCTTTGCAGCCAAGGTTCAGAAAGGTTAACAATAAGAAAACAGCATGATATAAAAACAGGATGTTGACAAGAGAACAAAAACAGCTCAACAACTGTCATATTAATAGAAAACAGGGACCCCACTAAACATCTATCCTAGCTTTGTTTGGTAATGCCTGCCCAAATAGGAGGGTATTACAGTGCTTCCAAAATATGTCCAGGCCCATGCTTTGGTGAGCATCAAGAGGGAGGGAGCTCCAGAGAAGCAACTGAAGAAAATGACCTCCCATGAATTTTCGCCAAGCAGATTTGGCGTACTGATGATATTTGTAAGAGGTTGGTCTTGGCTCACTTTAGGGATTACAATGGGATATAAAAGGTAGTCCTTTAGATACATAAGGCTCAGACTGCTTAGGGCCTTTAGATAAAAGGCACTACCCTAAATTGCACCCTGCTGGAGGGTGGGTCACCATGTTCTGCACCAGCTGCAGCTTCTGGACAATTTTCAAGGGCTGCCCTATGTAAAGCACATTGCATAGCCTTAAGGTTACAAAGGCATGAATGCTGGTGGCCAGACCAGAGTCTGAAAGAAAGGGTCACAACCTTCTAAGCAGATGAGAGAAGGTGCTCCTAGCCACAGCCACCACCTGAAGATCCAGGTGCAGCTGAGAACCCAGAACCACCCACAGCTGTGAACCTGAGTGACAAGAGGCAGCTCAGCTCTATCAATGAAAGGAGCTCCAGTCCCCATCAGGTTGCATGGTCTGCCCACTATCATCACCTCTACCCTGTCTGGATTCATTTTTAATTGGTTCAGCCACATCTCCAGCTGCAGCCATGTATGAGAAAAAAACAGAGACTTTGGGGCCAGCTAACTCAGTTGACTGTCCATTCTGCCCTTTTCCTTCATTCTTTAGGAAAAGCCTAACTTCTCCTCTTTTCAGCCTTGGAGCAGATGGAAATATAAGCCCAGTCCTCTTGGCATTCCACAGGTATCCTCAGTGCTGGCCCAACCTAGCCCTCTTTCCGCACCTGTGGACCAGAAATACCTTCCTGAAACAATTACATGATGCCCAGATGGAAGACAAGGACAGAGACAGACACCCTGTGACTGAATCATTACACTGAACCCTTTCACTGTTCTGAGCATGAACAGAGAGCTAATGATGGGGATCAAGAACCACTCTGTAGCATGAAAACAAAACTACTGCTCTGAATACTCTGGTTTAGGCCACAGAGCTGAGGGAACAATACTTCAAGGACGTCTGGCAAGCACATTGGCATCTTGTATTGCAGTACTTTTTGACTTGTTCCTGGCTTTTTTCAGTAAAACTTCTGCCAATTTCTTTTTAAAACACTGAAAAGCTTAAAGAGTTTATAGCACTCCAATAAAGGGTCCTATTGTGCAGGGCATAGGATGTTGGAAAACAATCCTTGCTAGCTCCTATCCTAGAAGAGAGAACCCATACCTATACCAGTATTTATTATCTGCACATGCCCAGTGTATCTGTGCAGTACAAAGAACTCTTCCTTACCTCTTCCATTTCAAATGAATCTGGAGGCTTGCAGTTTAGCCTAGACACCTTTCTGAGTGTTTGGGTCAAAAGCAAATTGGACTCCTTTCGGGTTCGATCTTTGGCAGGCATCTCAGATGAAGAAAGAAGGCAGGACTGCCTTACAGGTATATGTGACAAGGCCCACGTTTTCAATCCCAGCATTTGTGGAGGCTGGGATGTCAGTGCATCCTCCTCAGTGGGAAACTGCTCTTCTGTCACAGAGTCCAAGATCTTATTTTCAGAAAAGCCTGTCCTGGTTTCTATACAGTCATCCATTCCAGCAAAGGTAGGAGACTGTTTTTCTCCAGCACTGCATGACTCTGAGTTTTCAGAAGCCTGAGTGCTCTGCTGTTTAACTGTTGCCTGTCTAGAAACTCTTTTCAAGAGCTGACCTATTCTTCTCCTCTTTGCTCTCATTGCCATAGCTGTATTATTCTGCATATCCATCATGTTCTTCTCTACTCCAGTGCTGTCTTCAGTTCTCTCCTGTTGGTTGTTAACATTATTCAGCAAAGATGAAAAGGCACTAGCCACATGATCCAGGACTTCCAGTTGCCGAAAACGTCCTTAAAATTGACGGAAATAAAAGAAAACATGTTTATGGAAAAATACATTGTGAATAAAGTAGGAATAATGCAGTCATGACAGAAATTATACCTATCAAATCATACGAATTGATCTAGGGGATTCAAGCTTTTCTGCCTTCTTTTCTTCAACGAGACTATGGGTGTGCCTATGTAGTATGTTGTGCACTGTAGTATAAACATATCTGAGCTAGCTCATGTCCCAGAAAGAATCTAGTTGCAGTAGCATACAAGTTCATGTGCTTGAATAAATCAGTGTTCACAGAGCTCCAAGCTACCATGGCTAGACTACTTCCAGTATTTGAGCTTGCTAGTATGCACGCCTCTGCATGCACCACCATGAGCCATATCTTGCCAATGCTTCAAAAAACAAGCTGTTTTGAGAAGGAAACTTAGAGTTTTCTCACATCCCTTTGCTGTGGGTTCTTTTAATTCTCTTTATATCTCAAAAGCCAAATTTTGGTGAGTAGCATTCCAAGACAAAAATGGCCGTGCATACAAAAATGGCAGTGCATACAAAGAAAGGTGTATAAATATGAATTTAGAAATTTAACGTTAGTTTCACATTTTTAAAGTTAAGTATAAAGAATGTATTATTTAGTTACACAAAGGCTCTCTACACCAAGTGGACAGTTTTAAATGTTTATAAGGGCCATTAGTGTAAACAACAGTGAGGTTTTAAGTATTTCATAGAATCAGAGAAAATTAGGGTTGGAAAAGACCTCAGGAGGTCATCTAGTCCAACCCCCAGCTCAAAGCAGGACCAGCCCCAACTAGATCATCCTAGCCAAGGCTTTGTCTAGCTGGGTCTTAAAAACCTCCAAAGATGGAGCTTCCACCATCTCTCTGGGTAACCTGTTCCAGTGTTTTACTACCCTCCTAGTGAGAAAGTTTTCCTAATATCTAACCTAAACCTTCCTTGCTGCAACTTGAGACCATTGCTCCTTGTTCTGTCATCTGCCACCACTGAGAACAGTCCAGCTCCATCCTCCTTGGAGCCACCCTTCAGGTAGTTGAAGGCTGCTATTAATGAATAGCAATGGCATTATGTGCTTAAAGATACATATTGGTTCACATGCTTTACTAAAAAGGGGACATACATGTTACACACATGTAACCAGAGAATTGAGCATATGCAACAATTGATTACCTGCAAGAGTAAAGAAAATTACTGTCAAGAAACTCATTAAGG